ATAATCACTAGATATATATAATCAATAGATAAATATAATCACTATATATTTTATCGTTCATAAAATATACATTGACGATCTTATCGCTCAAAACACTTGAGAAAGGTTACATTAGCAAAAGGTGCTGAATATTTCCATCCGAGGATATATTTCTTACGATTAGAATAACACATTTAAATTATATACATGCTTAAACTGAATTGTTAATTTAAAATTTATATTTGAAGTATAAAACCTTTATATATATTTATTGAGTACATTTTTGAAAATTTAGAAAAAAAGATCCGAAAATTTTGAAATTTGCATGAACCGAAACAATAATATCTAATAATGTTGGTACGGAACTCAACAAAATTGTAAAAAAATTGTACTAATTTTTAAAAATTTTATCAAATATCTGATAATTTGATGTGCATATGTATAATGATGATTTTTGACAGCCAAATATATTTTTTTTTACTTTTTTCTCTGTATCTCCGAAACCGCTAGACCTGCCTTAGAAAAAAAAAATTCTCAATTCTTCATTTCGTCAATACAAACAACATTTTTTTTAAATCATTCAAACCGGGTATTGCGTTCTATCAAAAACTGAATTGCCGTTTTTGGCACTTTTTGCCCCGTATCTTCGAAACGGATGGACCTGTCTCCACCAAAAATCAATCAGCACATTTTCTTATCAACAGAAATCGAATGTTTTTTGAATCATTCAAATCGGTTGCTTTTTTCGGTGGTATTAATACCGGCATTTACCCTAAAAATACCGATATTTTTGGTATTTTTATATAAGCGCTAATTGATACATATTACACACAAGTTTAAATTTCTCGGGACAAATTTATCTTTAAATTTCATAATCGCATACACAGCTATATCTTTAAGCGATTCTATAGGATAAACAAATGTCATAATATTATCTCAACTAGTCATTAAACTCAATATTTATTGCTTTCTAAAAGGCCTCATATCGTGTTACAATAAATAGAATCGGAGCGATAGATAACGATGTTTCTTTCATCTTATGTAAAAATGTAACGGGTTTTAAAGTGTCATCTGCGCCAAAATATTTTATATCATAAATACTCACAATCAACAAAATAAAGATTACCAGTGTGTATTCTTTATTTTTTGAGTTTATACATATTAATCATAACAATTACTATTTTTTTTATTTAATTTATTTGAACAGCGACCAGAACTTATGGGTTCTATGAGCTATTGTGATGAATTTCTTACAAACTACGTTTGTTTTATTATAGATGGCAACCCAAATAGTTGTCTTTTAGACGTTGTGCGTCTAAATAAAAATACATAATTGTTTATAATCAAAAGGTAATAACACTTTGAAAATATACTAATTTATTGATTACTTGAAATACAAAATATTTAATTGATAATAATAATTCTTCTTGGTTATATTCACTCGGTGAATGCGGAAGGAAGAGGGAGGTTTTCAGTAGTCCAATTTCATCCCTTCTTGCAAGGGGTTGCAAGATTTGATATTCTAGTAGTATTGCAGACTTGCAAACGTTAGTTGCACACTTCATGTAAAGTTGCCTGTGTGTTGCGCGACTTAGAACGTTGTTACTCATGTGTCATGTGTCATGCGGAGAGCCTGAAGTGAAATATGTAATTTAAAAAAAATGTTTTTAATCTTACTCTTTTCGAGCAAGTTTTCTTTGAAGGATCTTTTTGGAATTCATCGTCGGTCTTGGTAATATATGCCGGTTTTAGTCTGTCTACGGAGACGTTTTTCTCTGTGCCATTTACGAGGTTTTTTAGTGGCGTTATGTACACCATTTCTGCTGGAGATGCTTGGATATCATCTTTGAGTGAGTTACGAAGGCCCAGAAGTATAGATGGTAGCACCGTAGTTCAGGGTTCAGGTGAATATATTAATGCTGCTTTTAATGTTCTGTGCCATCGTTCGACAAGATCGTTTGAATGTGGGTGGAAAGCTGTAGTGCGTATTTTCTTTGCACCTATTGTCTGAGCTAGAGACTTAAATAATGCTGCTTCGAACTGCGTGCCCTGGTCGGAAGTAATTGTAGTAGGTGATCCAAATCTAGATATCCAATGAGTGAATAATGCTTGTACCACGGTATCAGCTGATATGTCTTCGAGAGGTATGGCCTCCGGCCACCTAGTAAATCTGTCAATGATAATCAAGCAGTACTGGTATTCATTGTGGTTTGGTAACATAATAATATCAATGTATAAATGACTAAATCTTTGTTTTGGAATTGGTATATGTTCTGGTAAAAGATGATTGTGCCTGTGAACTTTAGACTTTTGGCATGCAGTACACTGCTTAGTCCAATTGTTGATGTCTCTTGCAATACCAGTCCAAACATATCTTTTTCGTACTTACTTTGATGTAGTTTTGATACTTGAACACATTGAAAGCCAGCTTACGTAGATTCTGTGGAAAATAATGTTTGATAAATTTAGTATCCAGATGACAATATACTGCATGCGAATCAATGGTAACTTTTTTCAGTTGTAGAGATGTATTTCTGACCAGTAAAGTGCTTAGTTCTGTGCCTGTTTCTTAGTATTTTGCTATTTCTTCTGCAGTGAGTTTGGTAGGCATTAGAACTGTATTAATTCTGAAAAAAGTGTCAGCAACTATATTTTGATCACCTTTTACATAAACTATGTCTGTGGAAAACTGTAAAATGTACTCCAGTTACCGTCGCTGCCTGCCAGAAGCTTTCTCCAGTCTTTGTTGGAAGGCATAGATAATCGGTTTGTGATCAGTTCTGATTGCAAAATACCTACCTTCTAATAGATGTTTAAAGAATTTTATTGCAGCAAATATGGCAAAAAGTTCCCGGTCATAGGTGGAATGCGTTCAGTTCGTTCAGCTGTGATGAGTTTTCTGGAGTGAAATCCAAGGGGGCACCAGGTTCCATTTTTCTTCTGCTCCAGAACTGCTCCAATGACTATGGTGGATGCATCCGTGGTGAGGCAAAGATTGGCTGATGCTACAGGATAGTGCAATAACGTGCTGTTTGATAAAATTCTCTTGAGTTCTTCAAAGGCTTTTTCAGCTTTCGGGTTCCACAATATAGGTGTTTTGTCACTTTTCTTTGATTTTGTTAAATAGGCATTGAGTGGTATCTAAATTCTTGCTGATCCTGGTATTGACTTCTTGTAATAATTGGCCATGCTAATGAATCGTTGAAGTTCTACCACTGTTGTTGGCTTTGGAAATTTTAAAATTTTGGTTATTCTGTCTGTGCATGGTGTGTAGCCCTTGGTATTGTTCCTCTATCCAAGAAAATCAACTTCTGTTTGACCTAGTCTGCGTTTTTCAGTATTGATTGACAGTGAGTGTTACTGTAGTTTTTCAAATACTAAACGTAGGTGTTTTTGATATTCCTGTTCATCCTTGGACATGATAAGAATGTCATCTATATAAATGAATACAAATTCAAATCCTCTGAAAATGTGGTTTATAAATCTTTGAAATGTTTGTGTCGCATTCTTTAGTCCAGTGTTTCCCAACGTGGGGCGCACGTCCCACCGGGGGGCAATTTGTACTTTTTAGGGGGGAATTTGAAATTTTTTGTGATTTTAATGTAATGTAGTATAGTATCGGTAAAACAATTAACTAAAAAATGCTTCTTAGATTCAACTAATAATAAGGTGTTCCGGTTTCGCCGGGACAGTCCTAGTATTCAACCTTGCCTTGCCTTAGAAAACAGGTATGTTAAAATTGGTTTTGAAAATGTCATTCTGGTGATTTTCCACTCAATGCTGCTCTGATCGTCCAGTTAAAGTTTTGAAAAAACCAAATTAAAGCAATAATCGATTCGGCTAATAGAAAAAATTTGGTTATGTTTAAAAATTATTAGGGGTGGGTTGAAATTTTTCTCCACATCCACCAAATATTCAGGACCACAAACCAACTGTTTAAAACCCTTGAATTAAAAAAAAATCATGATGGTGTCAAATTGTACCTAATTCAGTTTTTGCTAATAAAAACTAGAAGTTTTATAAACTTGGGATAATGATGCCTCTTGGAAAATTACAAAAGGTCATCGATCAAAATGGTATACAGAGCAAAGTTATTTAATTCCACGCAAAAATTGTCCTTGATTTTCTAACGAAAGACGCGCACTTAATTAGTTGCCAACCTATTAACTAAATAAGATTTAACAAAAAATTAATTATATAAAATATGATTATATATTTTGATCTAGATTTACTCTAGTATTATTTAATTAATAAAACACCTTTTACTTCATACAAATACATTTAATAATCCACTAAATTAACACAACGCCGAACTGTTCAATACTCAAGTTACCGCCAGACACCGACTCGCACACAGATACACACTTCTGTTCCGCCAAGGATCAGACACTCCGCATATGACACACCATAGAGCACATACACGTCAGGATAGACACTCTTGGCCGTTATATTCAAATGACAGACATACAATATTATAGTTCGGCCAATCTTGACCTCACAGGCGTCCCCGACTGATGAGATCTAATACAACAGTAATCTAAATCTAATATTACAACACAAATTATAAAACCATTACAACATAAATCATATTTCATTACAACATAAATCATATTTCATTCACTTATTGTCTCTACTAACTCATTGTTCATACACTTAGTCCGAGCTACAAGTTCATTCGTTGTCACTAACAACACCCTCACTACTCACATCAGTCTGTTCTTCTTCTAGTTCAGAACCCTCACTCCATTCGAGGCCATAATCCTTTTCTGGCCTAAACCATAATCGCATTCTGCTTGGATCAATTATGGTTTCCATTGGCATCTGCGTTACTTGGAATCCCTCTACATGCCTATGGCATACCGGTCATGGTCCAGCACCTTCTTAACTAAATATGGTCCCTTATACTTTTGTAACAATTTCTTGTTCACGCCAATAGCAGTGTCCACATTGGTGATCATTACCATATCTCCAATCTTATACTTCTCCGCCTCCTTACTGCGCTTATCATGGTATCTTTTATTCTAATCTTGCCCCCTTTCTATCGTCTGCTTTCTAATTTCGTCCTTGTCATACGACTCATTCTGCAGCAGATAATCTCTCACTTCATCCCTAACTTCTCTCCATTGTGTCACTCCAAATAATAGAATATTGGGGGTCTCACCCGTGCTCTTACACACCGCATTATTCAAGACGTATTCTACCTTATACAGAACTGCGTCCCAACCGCTTAAATCTTCTATGTATTTCGCCAACATTGGAACGATTGTTCGGTTTGCTCTTTCCACCTTTCCATTCGCCCTAGGCGCTCCTGCAGCTATGTGCACTAATTTTACGTCTCGCTCCTCTAAAAATGTATAACACTACTACACTATAACACTCAGAATACTGAGTCAACCAGCCAACTACCTCCTTTGCTGATGTGGTTTTGCATGGGTATAATTTGCAATATTTTGTAAACGCATATATCACCATCAGAACGTGTTTATTGCCTTTTCTAGTTTTCTGTAGTGGACCCAAATGATCCACATGAATTGTCTTGAAAGGCAGCATACCCTTCGGGATATTGTGTAACCTTCCTCGAGACTCACCCTTCCAGCTTGAAAAGGCAATACACTTTAAGCATTTATGTATAACCTCATTTACTATCTGGTTCATATTGCTGAACCAATATTGTTTTCTCAATGTCATCGCCGTCCTCTCTACGCCTGCATGCCCTAGCTGTTCATGCATTAATCTAGACACCTCTCCTACCATTAATGACGGCACCAAAAATAAAAGCCTCTCCTTGAACTTTCTGTACACTAATCCGTCCCTTAGTTTATACAGCTGATGCTGTTCTCTCTCCAAACCATCTCGAATTTGCCTAATCAACGGATCCTGGCCTTGTCTTATCGCCACTACTCGGTCAAAGCTGTTCTCTTCGATTACTAGTAGTTCATGGCACCTGCTAAGTGCATCGACGTGCTGCATCCTTGCCGCTGCGCGATGCTCTAGCTCATAGTCATAATTCGACAATACTAGCGACCACCTCAATAATTTTGGATTTATTTCCTTCTTCTGTAGAGCCAGCTTCAGGATGTTACAATCGGTCACCAGCTTAAAATGAATTCCAAATAAATAGAAATGAAACCTTTGCAAGGCATTTACAATAGCTAACATCTCCAATTCGAAACTGTGCAGCTTTGACTCCGACAACGTGGATCTCTTACTATAGTAGCAGACTGGGTGCGATTTCGCTTTTGCACAAGTACTGCTCCATAACCCTTCGCACTACCGTCCGCATGTAGTTCTGTTATCGCACTAGGTGAGTAAATCGCTAACACTGGTTTATTCACTAATTCATTCTTAATATTGTTTATGGCTTCCACTACATCACCGTCAATCACAAAGTTTTCACCATTCTTACACAAATCATACAATGGCTTACACTTAACACTAAAGTCCTTAATAAACTTACGGAAATAACTGGCTAGGCCTATAAAGCTCCTTAACTTTCTGAATATCTTTGGAATGGGTATATCTACAATCGCCTCAATGTTTGCATCACTCGGCCTTATGCCATTCACGTCTATATGGTAACCTAAATAATCAATGCTCCTAAACACAAAACTACACTTACCTAATTTTAATTCTAGTTTATTTCTACTAATCACTTTTAACACCCTACGCAACACTTCAATTTTCTTCTCAATTGTTTCTGTGGCGATTAATAAATCGTCCATATACACTATCACTTCACAGTTCACTATAAAACGACGAAAAATGTCACTTACATGTCTTATAAATACATTCGGGCTATTACAATATCCAAATGGCATACGGTTGTATTCATATTGTCCCTGTGCACACACAAAGCTTGTGTATTTTCTACTAGTCTCAGCCACCACCACATGAAAGAAAGCGTCTTTCAGATCTAGCTTCGTAAAATACCTCTTAGACTTAAGCGAGTCCAAGCAATCATCTATTCTTGGACTGGGGTAAGGATCGCCACCACCCGTTTGTTAAGTTCCCTATAGTCAACACACAATCTAATTTTACCATCCTTTTTCCGTACTATCACTATCGGTGAACAACATTCCGAATTACTTTCCCTTATAATTTCCCTATCCAACAAATCTTGTATGATGGCACCCACCTGACCTCTTTCATAGAACGATATCCTCCTGGGCACTACATAAAATGGTGAGGCACTCGGCTTCAGTACAATTGACATTTCGAATGCAGTCTCTGGTTCGTCCGGTTTCTCACTCTCCAAATATTCCTTTCTTACCAGGTCTTCTACTGTCGCTACCACGCCATAGTCGTTTTCCTCCGATATATTTAAACTCACTCTGTCTGTAATAATCTCATCAATCGCCAATATTTCATTAACTCCTGCATTTTTATTAACTATATACACTTACCTTCCAATATTTACCTCCAAATCTTTGTGCTGAATCATGTCTCGCCCCAATAAACATGACGCATTCATAGTATTTTCTGGTATTACATGCAAAGTTAGTGGCACTTCTGCTCCATGCTCCGGAAACGTCAGCCGTAGTTTCGCAATATCTTCAACATCTAACCTCGCATGGTTAATGCCCTCGAACCCGGCTCCTGCGCTCCATGCCTCCACTGGTACTCCATTAGGCACACAAGACCGCTTGATAATTGATATCGCTGAGCCCGAGTCTATCACACTATCGAACTCAACGTCAAACACTCTCGTTTTCACCTTGTAGGCCGGTATGGGGTTTACTAATAGTGTGGTGCTGTCCGGCGCAACCTGCGCCGTATTCCGGACAATTTTGCAAAACCTCTGCTGATGCTCCTTTGAGCCACATTTGTAGCACGCCACTCCATCATTTTTCGGTATGATACACCTGGAGGCCATATGTCCCACTCCACCACAATTAAAACACCTCACCGGAGGATATGTGCCTTGTGGTTCCACTCTAGGAAACACTGTTGGCTGTACCCTCTTAGGCGGCATCATATTGAATCCGCGTTCCTCCGCTGTCAGCTCGTTCATTACACCTAGCAAGGTTGCTAAATCCTTAAATTGGTTCATTTTGGCTTGAGCCTGCAGTGGCGGGTTGTCGAAGCCGTCTATCATATAAGCCAGCAAATCGGACTCCATAAAGCCTAACCTATTTCCTAGCGCCATCTTCTCCTGAAAGTATGCGCTAAACGGTTCTTATTTTCGCCACCTCCGAGACTCAAACCGCTTCATTCTAGTCATCCTGTCTTCTTCATTTTTTAAAACGCTGTTAGTGCCCTCTTGAGCTCATCGTATGAATATGTTGCATACTCTGCCTTACTGTCATACAATTGTCTCGCCCGCCCCGACAGCTTCGATATTATCAGCACCGCCATCTTTTTCTTAGGCACCTCGTATGCATCCCGGACGGCCTCAACCCATTCAAACCACGCCTCGATGCATTGCTCAGACGACCCGTCGAATATCGGTATCGTCGCCAACAACTCGCTACTCGAGATGCTCTCGTTTTTATCACTGGTTGTCGCCCTAATAAGGGTAATCAAGTCCGTCAACGATAGCACTCTTAAGGCTTCGGGCACCAAGCTCTCAGCATCACCACCAGTAGCCATCTCACCAAATCTTATTTTATTTTCACAATCTCGAGTTTTTAATTACAAATATCGCAGCTCCGCGACTCGCCAACGTCAATATCACGCCCTGCTTTTGATATTTTTTCTCCACTCTGTTCTTATTTTGGTTAACCACGTGTTAACCTCACTTTAGCACAACAACACAAACACACAAAACTTACAAAACTTACAAAATAACACCTGCACTTGTACGATAGCGAAGTACACCTTGCTTTCTATCGCACCCCGTAATTATAATCCGCCTGATTATTAACACGGGCACTCCAAAAAAAAAAGATTATTGAAATCGCCTATCTCAATAATCCACACCAATGATGTTCTCTAATAAAATTCTCCACGTTTCGATTCAATCCCACTTCTGAGCTTTAAACTAGATTTACTCTAGTATTATTTAATTAATAGAACACCTTTTACTTCATGCAAATACATTTAATAATCTACCAAATTAACACAACGCCGAACTGTTCAACACTCAAGTTACCGCCAGACACCGACTCGCACACAGATACACACTTTTGTTCCGCCAAGGATCAGACACTCTGCATATGACACACCGTAGAGCACATACACGTCAGGATAGACACTCTTGGCCGTTATATTCAAATGACAGAATACAATATTATATATATATATATATATATATATATATATATATATATATACATATAAATGTATATATATACGAGGTGTGTTCAAAAAGTACCCGGAATTACTAATAATTAAATTTCGCGGGTCTGGAGTGTCTGATTGTCAAATTTTTTTTTTATTGTGTTGGTATACATGCCCCTAAAGTATGATGAAATTTTCAGCTATATTCACTGTTTACTTTGTCTGTGGTAGTCGCTAAGGTTCGACGTGTTTTTCTGAGCTCGGCGATTTTTACAATGGAAGAATTGAAAAGTCAAAGAATTTGTATTAAATTTTGCGTAAAAAATGAAATAAAGTGTTGCAAAGTGCAAAAATTCACCAGATATGGCTCCGTGTGACTTTTTCCTATTCCCAAAGTTGAAGAGACCCATGAAAGAACGGCGGTTTTCCTCGATTGAAGAAAATCGCTGAGAGTGCTCAAGGACATATCAAAAAGTGAATATCAAGGGTGCTTCGAAAATTGGAAAAAACGCTGGCATAAGTGTATTATATTTGGGGGGGACTACTTTGAAGGGGACCACATTAATGTAGACGAATAAATAAATATTTTTTTGAAAAAACGAAAATTCCGGGTACTTTTTGAACAGACCTCGTATAAATTAATATATAAAATATAGATATATTTCCGTTCTGAGTTAAGAAAATGTCAACTAGCTAAGTGGATTCGTTAAGAAATGGTTTTATGAAGAAACTGAAACCAGATGCCCAAATGTAATCATATGTACAAAAATTTGCTAAAATTTATTGACAAAAATAAAAAGCTTAGTAAGTTACAACCTAATATAAAATCTTTATTTTAGCTTAAGTATTGCATTAAATAAATTTCGAAAAAACAATCAATAAATAAATAAGTAAAAAGTATTGCATTTAATAAATAAAACTAGTTTGAAATTTCCGTTTTTTGGCTTATTCCGAAATTCTTATTTTCCGAAATGGCTTATTCCGTTATGATGTTTAATAACAATTTAATAGCGATATCATCTTGAAAGTTATCATTCACATTTTTTCAGAAACAAAAAAATTGTATGGGGGGCATAACGTTTTTGTAAACCATAAGGTGGGACGGGCCCAAAAAAGGTTGGGAATCACTGCTTTAGTCCAAAAGGCATTGCTAAATATTTATAAAGTCCCCATGGTGTTATGATCGCTGTTTTTTGGATGCTTTCCTCATCCATAGGTACCTGATGGTAAGCTTTGAATAGATCCAGTGTTGAGAATATTTTTATATCATAAAGTAATGGAAACACATTTTGAATGAGTGGTGGAAGGTATTTATCGGGTACAGTGTTGTCATTTAATTTACGATAATCACCGCACAACCTGTATTTTCCGTTTTTCTTTTGCGTCATGTGTATAGGACTGCCCCATTTTCTACTTGACGGTCGAAGTATTTCTGTATTTAGTAATTCCTGAAAATCCATTCTTGCTGCTGCTGCTTTTTCGGTCTGGCGGTCCTGTGGTAATAATATTTTGTGCCATGCTTGGTTCCTTGCATTTAAAGATATGTTGTGGTTTAGTGATGTCAATGTGATTTTTTAATAGATGCTTGTACTGATTGGTTAGATTAATAGTAGAAATATTATACAAACTTGATGGTAGCATTTGTCCATTTGATATAAATTTTGTTATGAGATCAATTAATCTTTTTTCTTTGAGGTCAAGCAGCAGGTTGAAATGGCTTAAGAATTCAGCTCCGATGATTGCTGTTGACACATCAGCAATGATGAAGGGCCATGTGAAACTCCGTCCTAATGAGATATCGAGTTTCACATGTTTTTTTTTTCTATGTGTGTATTGGACTCGAATTTGCTGCAAACAGTACCAGATCGTCCCTTTGTTGTCCACATCGATACTTGCTTGCTGGTAAAATTGATAGAATGGATCCTGAGTCTATAAGAAAAAATTGTGAGTTTTTTTTTACAAATTATGTTCAATCAGAGCTTGGTGTTTAAAAAATATATGTCACCATCTTTACACGCTCCTGTGCTGGATGGTGGGTTTAGTTTTTCGAATTTATTTTGCTGCTGAACAGGCATGGTTGAGTGCACTTTTTGCTCTTGGCACCAAACCTTATGTGGTAGTAGCAAACATGACTTTTTGATGGTTTTCTTGATCTCGATCTCCTGTGATATTGGGTGGACCGATTGTATTGACTGGGTTGGGACATCAGCTGCTCTATTTCTTATTGCTGTGCTAGTTGCACATCTTTTAGTTCCCGTATATCTTTAAGAGCAGATATGAGAATATTATTTAATTCGTCTAATTTACTGTCTGTGGAGTCCTTGCTGGTTGCCATGACGTAGTTGGAACCACATACGTTGTTTGAGGTTTGTCAACAAGTTTAGCAATTGTGTCCAAGTCTGACTTTTCTGTTATTACAAAATGCGTTCTGATGTTGTGTGGTAATCGTTCCAGCCTTAACTTGTGTATAATATCATAGCTAATCTCTTTCTTGACCAATACCGTCATCTCTCTCAGTAGTTGGGAACGTTTTTTACTATCTAATGACAAGCTTTTTAGCAATTTGTCAAGTTCTTATGACCTGAACTTAGATAAGCAGTTTATTATTACTTTTTTAATATTTTCTATTACATTAATATATTACATTTCTTTTGCCGATGTGTCACGAAGAACATCGGCAATCGTGTTCAGTGTCGTCCTGTCTGATGCTTTCAGTACCGATGTGTACTTGATGTCGTCGGATTTTATTCTCCAAGCCTGAAACTCCGACTCAATGATGAGGAACCATAGATCCAGTGAATCTTCCATAAACGGCAAAAGAATCTGCTTACCCATGTTGAAGAGATATCCCAAATTGATTTCTGGAGTTTTTTCGCCGTAGCGCTCCTTCAGCCCGAGTTCTGTTGCGTCCAAGTTAATTTGTGATTAGTCTAGTTTTTCTGTAGACATTTTTGAGTTTAATATTATTATTTTTAGCACGTATTTTTACTTTAGACGTTGTGCGTCTAAATAAAAATATATAATTGTTTATAATCAAAAAGTAATAACTCTTTGAAAATACACTAATTTACTGGTTACTTGAAATACAAAATATTTGATTGATAATAATAATTCTTCTTGGATATGTTTACTCGGTGAAGGCGGGAAGAAGAGAGAGGTTTTTAGTAGTCGAATTTCATCCCTTCTTGCAAAGGGTTGCAAGATTTGATATTCTAGTAGTATTGCAGACTTGCAAACGTTAGTTGCACACTTCATGTTGCGTTGCCTGTGTGTTGCGCGACTTAGAATGTTGTTACTCATGTGTCATGTGTCATGCGACCGCTCTAGTCTCATCTCTATGTGCTGAATTTTTATTATTACAATTATTGTAATAGTGATGACTTTTTATTGATGCAGCAATGCCGTATTAGGGCTATTTTCACTTGGGAACATATTGCTATCTATATTTCCAAGTGAAAATCGTTGTCACTGCAGCCTGACAACAGACTGCTCGAAGTGAGAATATTTACTAAATATTTTTGCTTTTCATTACAATTATAAAATATTATTTTATTTAAAACGTGTCGCAGTTTGAAAATAAAATAGATCCATTATATTGTTTTGAATAAAAATACTCAACAATCATAGTATGTTATTATCTTGATAAAGTATCGGATCTCACATTAGTACCAAAATTACTTTTTAAAGTCTTTAAAATATTGGAAATTATGCTAATTTGACACATCGGATACAAACAATACAGTTTATTATAATAATGTAATATGATCTTTTATGAGTTTTCGGTCTTTCTTACTCATACGTTTAATTTTGGTGAAAAGTACTTAATATATTATACTTGATACTGATGATGAGTTAATTCAATTCGATATAATTTTGTTAAAATATTATTAAATTAGTGGGGCGCATGGCATCTGGCCTTAAGGCAAA